ATAGCCACCCAGCCTGACACCAGATCTGAGTTCACATGATTCTGTCTCAGCTCAGGAATGGGCAGCCTCCAGCTGGGATTTTCTAGACCGAGCTGGGAGGCGTGGTCTGCGGGAAATCGCTGGAGGGGGAGCGCAGGTCCTGGCTGCAGGGCCCCCTGTGGGGGGTCTGCCGGGCGGGCCAGGGGCAGCTGGTCTCCTCCCCAGGCCTCTGCGAGCAAGCGAGCGAGTGCTGGAGGAAGCCGGCTGTTTGAGGTTTGAGGGCAGAGCTCGGAGAGGACCCAGAGCCCCTTCGGCTGGCTGCCGCTCCCTGCCCATTCCTCCCTCACCTGGCTGCAGAGACCGTCCCCTTCCTGGGGTCTGGAGGCTGAGCAGGCAAGGGTCAGTCCAGCTGTTTCCAAACTGGGGATGTTGACTGACCCATTAGTGGGTCAGAAAATCAATCTAGTAGCTCACGACCTGCATTTAGAAAAACAAAACAGAGGGGAAATGATCAGAGTGCGTCGCAAGCGGTAGGTAAGTATTGCTCCAGGAAGGTGTGTTTCTCTGTGAGTCCATGAGTGTGTATGGTGTCTGCGTGTGCTGGTGACAGGGTCAAGTGCATTCCTCGCTGTGGTCAAAAGAGCTTAAAGGCAGTGAGCTGGGGATCTGGGTGCTGGATTCAGATCCCCCACACTTACTGTGTGAATTTGAGCAACTAGGTGAGCCTCTCTGGGCTTCAGGTTCTGTGAAATGGGTTCACAGTGACTTTGTGAGCTCAGATGGGACTGAACTTTGAAACAGTTAGGAGGGCTTTAGAAATGAGACTGCTTCCTTGCTGTTGCTGGAGTAAGGCAATTTAGGGGAAGGCTGGAGACCGAGGGAAAAAATGCTGCCTAATTTCTACTCCTGCCCCAGAGGGAAACATCAACAGCCTCTGAAAAGGGCACTTTTAGGAAATGAAACAGCCCTGTTGAAAGCATGTGGGAGTTTGACCAGCCAAAGGGAAGGGAAGCTGAGCCCACAGGAAACTCCCAGCTCTGAGTGCTGGGGGCTCCCCGAGCAGAGCCACGGGGCACTGTGAGTAACTGTGCGCGTGCCAGCCTGCCGCCACACGGAACAAAGGGCGACAGATTAGATCACTGTTTATGCGCCAGCTGAATGACGGTGCTGGGCACCTCCGCCTTCTGGCTTGGAACATGCAGACAGCTCCTAGCTGGAGTCAGAGGCCCTTCCTTTCTTTCGGGCACGTAACTGCTCTTGGACTTGGATGCTAAAGTCCTCGGAAGCCTCTATGCTGATAGGCGTTTGTCTGCAGGTTTGCTCTTAGGTGTTGGGATGCTGGGTTTCTCAGCTGGATGATAAAGTGACGCAGATGCAGCTTCTGTGTTTGGATTCTTCACCCCAACCGCTGCCACCTTGGGGATCCCTGCACTCGGCACACAGCAGATGTTCCTCGATGAGTGTTGAGGAAATGGTTGACCTGGCAGAGCATCCTCCAGGTGCAGGGGGCTGGCCCAGGACTAAGCCTGCTGGCCCTTGTGGTGGCATCTCTGAGGAAGGACTGGAGCCTGGAGATGGTGGGTGGTTGCTTGGTAACAATCATGATGTTGTAAAGGAAAGCGTGGGCCAGTCTGAATTCAAAGCCTGGCTCCCTACATTGTAACTGTGGAATCTTGAGCAGCCTCAGTTTTTTCATCTGTCAAATGGGCGCTGATGAGAGTGGTGTTGAGAGAGGATGACTGTCCAGAAACGGTTTGGGCACGTGGAGGCTGCTCATGCAGTGTGGCTTGATTCTTCCATCCCATCTACCTGTTTTCCTTTACAGAACACTTTGCATCCACTGTGCCTTTGACTTTTGAGGAGCAAGCTTCCTGTGGAGAGGAGGTGGAGAAGGGACACTCCTGGCAAGATGTAGTTTCCATTTAGGGGTGCGTGTCCTCAGGGAGCGGCAGAAGGGAGGGCTGGCTGTGATAGGGCCGGGGTGAAGAAGCAGGACCCTCTGTGACCAGCCCAGGCAGTTTGAGCAGATGCCAGGTGGCTGGAGGGGAGCCACAGCGGTTCCTGCCTCTCACTTTCTGTTTCTGTTAGTGATATTTCCATTGTCCCAGCACCCAACCTCAAAACCCCCTACCCATCCACCCACCCATTCTTCCATCTACTTACCCACTTACTCACCCATCTCTCCCTCGGCCCCCTCATCCTTCTGCTTACTTATTTATCCACCTCCCCAGCCACCCAGCCACCCAGCCAGCTGCATCTCACCCATCCATCCATCTAGCAAATAATCTGGGGGAGCTTGTAGGACCAAGCACTGAGGAGCATCTCAGATTTGTCCCTGATTGTCCCCACCCGCTTCTAATCTGTTGGCAGATTCTTCAGCTTCTTGTCTCCTCTCTGGCCACGCCTTCCTCACACCTAGCTCATCTTGCTAAGCTATTTTCAGTCCCCCACAGGTGCCCATTCTCTCTCTCCCTGCCCCTTCCCTCTTCTCCTGATCTTAGAGTAACATGCTGCTCAGGAAGGCTTTTCTGGCTGGGTTAGGTCACCTCCTATGAACTCCCTTGAAGTCCTGTACTCTCTCTAGGAGCATCTCCCCTCCCTTCTCCCCTCTTCCATGAGACTAAAAGCAACTTGAGTTACACCAGGGACCAGTGTCTAGTGCAGTGCCTTCCAGATAATAGACACTCACAAGGATTTGCTATATGAATGAATAAATTGGTGGACAGATGGATGGATGGATGGGTAGGCACACGGATGGATGACTGGAGAGCCACTGAAGGGTTTGAAGCAAGAGTAATTAGTTTAGATCTGTGTTCTGGAGGATGGCTTTGAGACAGGTGGTGAGATGGAGACAGGGAATCCCATCGGAGGCTGTGCACTGATTTAGGGGGGGATGTCTTGACCAAACCAATCTGGGGCACTGGTGAGGGAGCTGAAGAGGAGGAGATGGATGTGGGAAATATTTAGGAGTTGAACTGAGTAATTACATGGATGCTGTGGATGGAGATGAGGGAAGAAACTGAAGGCCAGCCATCCAACATGAGTGACTGGGCAGGTGGAGACGCCACTTCCAAGAGCAGACTAGTGGGGAAAAAGATGGAAGCAGGGGACCTTACCGAGCATGCCCCGTGTGGTGGGAGAAAGCTGTTTCTGTCAACCTTCCACCTGAGGGTGGGGAGGATGTCGGGGACTCATCAGAGTATTGATGGGGTTGAAACCACAGAGGAGGTGCAGTGTGTGTGGAGTCAAAAGGACAAGCCAGCTTTAATGTCAGTGGGAGGGACGCACCCTGCACCCACCACCCATGGCCCTGAGTGGCACTCGTTTGTGCACGTGGCGTTCCTGTCCTACAAGGTTGGAGGCTCCCTGAGGGTAGGAGCCATTTCTTCTTTATCTCTACGTCCCCATGTCCAGCCCGGTGCCCTGAGCAGATGGTTCACAGATACCTGTGGTGTGAAACCAGGAGGTACTGGACTGTTGGACAAGCCACTCCATCCCTCTGGGCCTCAGTTTCCTCATCCCTAAAATGGGAGAAATAATAGGGCTGCTGTGCAGATGAGACAAGAGGGCAGATGTGAGATGCTGTGTAAACTGTAAAAGATTTTGCAAATTCAAGGTGTGAGAGCCCTGACAGACTCCGTCACTATGTCTTGAGGGCCTGAATCAGGCTGCTGACCTCCCAAGGGCTACATCCTCGTTCTGCCCAGGTGTCTGCCAGGTTCTAAGTTCCCTTCCACCCACCTCTGCGCCCTAGCCTGGGAACTCACAGAGGACGCTGATCAGGAGTGAAACGCCAGACCTTCCAGTCCTGTGAATGCTCTGCTACTCAAAGTGTGGTCCACGGGCCCAGCGGCACCAGCCTCACCTGGCGAATGGCTGCAAATTCGTGAGCACCACCCCAGACCCACTGAGTCAGAAACGCGGAAGGTGGGGCTCTGGAATCTGTTTTAACAAATCCTCCTGGTGACTCCGATGCACCTTAGTTTGAGAATCACTGCTCTAGAATTCCCAAGCCCTCTTTTTTGCTCCAAAGTGAACACAGGAGGTACTTTAATCTAAACATTGTATATGTTTCTTCTTTGCTCAGCAGACCTGAGCATTTCTGACTTTGGCTGCCAGAATTTGCTTACTGCTGGCCTAGGAAAGAGGCCCGGACAAACCGCCGCCCCAGGCCGTCCCACAGGCTAGCAAACAATAGCCTTCGGCCAGGTGACTCCCAACGAATTCCTAAGACCTGACAGGATGTGTTTTCACTCTGGTTTCCTTTGCCTGTTTTTGTGGGTGTCTGGGAGGGCTTGTGCTTATGAATGAATTTTTATCTTCCTGAGGCTGAGTTTATGTGGACTGTGGAGAACTTGAGGTAAATTCATACACACAGACCACGTGGGTGGGCGCCCCTGGGGACCGTTCGGGGACCTGTGCTGCTGTGGGAGTCAGGTGAACCACTTGGACCTACAGCTGTGGGTCTGGGACTCAGGGACAGGGGAGCTGGCAAGAGGAGGGCGAGTGAGGCTAAATTTTGACTCCCCAGGCTGTGGGCAGAGTTTAGGGGTCACGGGCCTCAGCTGCCCCTCTTCCCCTTCTTCTCACCATCAAAACATATAAGCAAAAAGCCCAAAAACACAAAAAGCAAAAAACAAGAAAACACCCTTGTGCGCTGTTGGTGGGAATGTAAAATGGTGCAGTCGCTGTGGAAAACAGAGTGGTGGTTCCTCAAAAAATTAAAAATAGAACTACCATATGATCCAGCAACTCCACTCCTGGGGAAATACACAAAAGGACTGAAAGCAGGGACTCAAACTGATGTTTGTACACCCATGTTCAGAGCAGCATTATTCACAACAGCCAAAAGGTAGAAACAACCCAAATGTCCATAGACAAATGAATGCAAAAAAATAAAATGCAGTATATACATACAATGGAATATTATTCAGCCTTTAAAAGGGAAGGAAATTCTGACGTGTGCTACAACATGGATGAACCTTGAAGACATTTTGCTAAGTGAACTAAACCAGTCACAAAAAGACAAATACTGTATGATTCCACTTAGATGAGGGACCAAGAACAGTCAAATTCATAGAGACAGAAAGTAGTCTGGTGGTTGCCAGCAGCTGAGGGGAGGGAGAATGGGGAGTTAGTGTTTAAGGAGGACGGATTTTCAGTTGGGGAAGCTGAAAAAGTTCTGGGGATGGATGGTGGGGAGGTAGCATTCACGTATTCATTCCAGTGGACTCAGGAGTGCCTGTGATGTGCCAGGCACTGTTCAGGGTGCATGAGGCCCTCCTGGAATTTACATCCTCATGGAGGAGACAGATTCATCGACAACCAGACAAGTAAATAAACAAGAAAAATCTCAGATACCGATGGGCGCTCTGGGGAGCACCCAAATAGGAAGGTGTGATGGTGGCGGGGAGGGGGCTGCTTTAGTCGGGTGGTCAGGGAGGGCCTCGCCAGGGGGTGATGTTTAAGCTGAGGTCTGGCAGCAAAGGAGCTGGCCCTGGGATGGAGGTGGGGTGGGGGAGGGGAGGAGCGGCACTCCAGGAGAGGCAGGAGTGAGGCCAGGTGGCCGAGGCACAGAAAGCTGGCCGGTGAGGCTAGAGTGTGGTGGTGGCGGGCAAGGTAGGGGGAGCTGGGACAGGATCATGTCAGTCCTTGTAGGTCCCATAAGGAGTTTGGTATGACTGCGTGATAAGCCACTGTGAAACCGTCTCAGTGGGTTTTAAGCAAGGAAGAGGAGGATCTGGTTTGCATTTTAGAAAGAATGCTGTGGCTGCCCTTCAGATAAAGGCCGGGGCATGAGTGGGAGCATTGGGGTCGGGGAGGGCTTGGCTACAGAGACACAGAGAGTCCTGGTGAGAGGTGACAGCTATGGGCCAGTCCCATCTTATGGAAGCCACAGGGCCCTTTTCCATGAAAGATGCACATACTTAAATAGTTACAAGATTGAGCGTGTGATTTTAGGGGAAGCCCTCAAGTTTATCATCCATGAACCCCAGGAGTGGAACTGCTGGGCTGGATGTCTCTGAGCCCCTGCCCAGCTCGCAGTGCCAGCTTCCAGGCTGAGCGCTGGCTCTGGGGGCCGCAGGGCCAGCCAGGAGCCAGCAGGATGGAGGCCTCGGAGGGAGGGGCCCTGGTCAGCAGGTGGTGAGACATGGTCCGTCAGTAGTGGGAGGGGCTTCCCTTCTGGTCCGTGAGTCCCAGCTTGACTAGGAAAAGACAGCAAAGGGCAAGGTTGATCTGCTGATACTGCAAAACAACTTAATTCAGACCCCATTCATTTGGAATTTGCAACCATACAGACTGCATTTTCAAGGGGGGCGGGGTGAAAAAAATCTTAGATATTACAATGATTTGTCACCCTCCAAAAGACAATGACACATGAACAGACACGCAGTACAGCTGGGGTATTCACATTCACTGGGGAGGGGTGGATAGGGAAAAAATGGCTAAAAAGGCTCCTTGGGAAGATGATTATGAAAAAAAAAAGGTTGATTTAGACACAGTAAGGTTTTTTCATCTGAGCCAGAAGTATTAAATCAACAGAGCAGCTCAGGCCTTTCCTTTTGATATATTAATTTCTAAAGCAGGCTTACAACAAAATATTTTATTCTGTCTTGTTCAAATGTATTTTTGTATATAGCAACAGCATTTTCTTTGTTAAATTCCTGACAAGATGAACTTGTCACTAATGTAATACCATCTTTCACTTTGCTTCTTTGCCTCCAATAAAACACTGCCAGGCATTTTGACATCTATCATTTTATGTGACCCTGAGAGCAGGTGTTTTTATCCCCATTTTATAGATGAGGAAACTGAGGCTAAGAAAGGGTAAATGACTTGTACAGCCTATAAACAACTGACCATGGCCTGGTGCTCACATCTTTCAGGGCTTCATCCTGTGATGTCCCCTGTGCTGTGTCCCCAGTTCCAAGGAGGAGAGGTAGCAGGATTTAGATGAGGTTGGGCCTCTACCATGCTGTCTGGAGAGGACCCCAGGAGGGGCTGTGGGCTCACTGTTGACTGACCTGGTACCTTCCTGTGAGCAAGTACAAAAATGTGAATGGTGCTTATTGCTGTAGAAGAGGGTAGCTGGGGCCGTCACTGTTGCTTGTGGGTTGGGATGATCTTTACTTTGAGCTTCAGTGGGACAGCTGGCTTGGGATGGGAGCACGTTCACAAGAGCTCTAGGCCTTGCTTGCTGCACCAAGGGACCTGAAGAAGAAATCAGGGAAAGGAAGCCAGAGAAGGGGGCTGAGGAGACATAAATCACGTCTCAGTGTCTTGGTGTGTGATCCAGTCACATACTCTAGTTGAGTTGGAGTTGGCTGGTTGGATCACCTTCTAAACTAAGTGAGGCACTTAGAACAGTGCCTGACACACAGTAGGTACTTGTAAGTGTTAGCTCCTATTATCCTATGCCTTTCCATCTTTGACTTTCAGAGCTTTACCCACCGCCAATGAGGCCTAGCCTTTGATACAGCTGGAACTACATCCTAGAAACAAGATGTTGGTAGAGAGACTGGCTTACTCCTGAGCCCATGAGGGGTGAGGCCCCTTCAGGCCCAAAGATGGGGAACATCAGTGCAGACAACGCCTCGCTGAGCTGTGCCATTGACCACACCATCCACCAGACACTGGCCCCGGTGGTCTATGTCATCGTGCTGGTGGTGGGCTTCCCGGCCAACTGCCTGTCCCTCTACTTTGGCTACCTGCAGATCAAGGCTCGGAACGAGCTGGGCGTGTACCTGTGCAACCTGACGGTGGCCGACCTCTTCTACATCTGCTCGCTCCCCTTCTGGCTGCAGTACGTGCTGCAGCACGACCACTGGTCCCACGGCGACCTGTCCTGCCAGGTGTGCGGCATCCTCCTGTACGAGAACATCTACATCAGCGTGGGCTTCCTCTGCTGCATCTCCATCGACCGCTACCTGGCCGTGGCCCACCCCTTTCGCTTCCACCAGTTCCGCACCCTGAAGGCCGCCGTGGCCGTGAGTGTGGTCATCTGGGTCAAGGAGCTGCTGACCAGCATCTACTTCCTCATGCACAAGGAGGTGGTGGAGGACGAGGACCAGCACCGCGTCTGCTTCGAGCACTACCCGCTGGAGCCGCGGCAGCGCGGCATCAACTACTACCGCTTCCTGGTGGGCTTCCTCTTCCCCATCTGCCTGCTGCTGGCCTCCTACCGGGGCATCCTGCGGGCCGTGCGCCGCAGCCACGGCACCCAGAAGAGCCGCAAGGACCAGATCCAGCGGCTGGTGCTCAGCACCGTGGTCATCTTCCTGGCCTGCTTCCTGCCCTACCACGTGCTGCTGCTCGTGCGCAGCCTCTGGGAGTCTAGCTGCGACTTCGCCAAGGGAGTCTTCAACGCCTACCACTTCTCCCTCCTCCTCACCAGCTTCAACTGCGTGGCCGACCCCGTGCTCTACTGCTTCGTCAGCGAGACCACGCACCGGGACCTGGCCCGCCTCCGCGGGGCCTGCCTGGCCTTCCTCACCTGCGCCCGGACCGGCCGCGCCCGGGAGGCCTACCCGCTGGGCGCCCCCGAGGCCTCCGGGAAGAGCGAGGAGCCCGAGCTGCTGGCGAAGCTCCACCCGGCCTTCCAGAACCCTCACCCGTC